ATGTAATTTTTTTTAAATTTTTTATTAAATATTTGTATTTTTTACTTTACTTTTAGGGGCTTCGGGGAAATATTGGGGGTCTAAACAGACCACTGATATTTCCCTTTTAAAATAGAAAAAAAGATTGAGAACACAAAGTCCTCAATCTCTTTTTCTGTGTCCCCTGTTATCAATGAACAGGAATCCACTATGAGTGTTCCTGTTCATTGATAACATGAGAACATTGTTTGTTTACTATAACTACAATTATGAATGAATGGGGGTGATGAGGATATAGTTAACATACCATATCCTCAATTATCTACAAACACTCAGCGATCACTGATCACTGCGTGTTTGTACTCGCTCTCCTCTCTGACACGCTTTCACAGGAGGCTGAGCGAGCGGTGTAGGGAGGAAAGCCCAGCCTCCTGTGACAGCGCTGTCTCCGCCCCCACACTGCTCTGCCGGACTGTAATAGGCGAAAGAGCGGTGTGGGAGGAGACGCCGGCCGCTCACATTGCTCTCCACCGCAGCACTCGGCCGGCTGTCACTATCTCTTCTCCCCGCTGGGACATAGAGCAGCGCCCAGCAGGGAGGAAAGAAATCAGGGATGCGGCGATGTATCGTCAGGAAAATGGCACTTTCGGCCAATATGTTTTTGTAGTCTATGCTCACCTGGTTTCCCATAATCAATCTGTCATCATTTGCATCTGCCTGCTGCTGGGTGTACCCTGGCCACAGAGCAGAGCAACCAATGAGCGATTGATATGAGTATGTATGTCTCCCTAGCCAATCCCTGGGAGGTTGGTAGCCAAGGGTACATGTTGGGAGAGAATACTTGGGGTGGACCATGTGAGCTGTCTCTTCCTCCCCAGGCCCTGCCTATGCGGAGGCTGCTATGGACTGTCTGATATGGCTAGGCCTGAAGCCTGGGGACTAGCCCTATGCTCATACTGAGGCCTGAGTCTGGGGGCCCAGTGGTTACTATTAATACCAATCATTAAGATGACCAATGACTTCTGATTCAAGTGCTGCTCATCCAGGTGCTCTGCACACAGATTGCAATGTCTGGATTAAAGGTCCTTCTCTGTGATGGCAGCAGTTACTCTATTTTATTGCTTAAAGGAGTCTACACCAGCCTGGATGATCCTGACCACATGCCTATGATGTATGATGTTGAGGTGTTTTCCTAACTGAAGAAATGGCTTGGAGAAGCTACTAAATATCTTCAAAATTGTGCAGAACAATTCCAGTTGAATGTGACTAACTACTACTAGGCTATAGGACAGATAGTAAAAGCAAATCTCCCCAGGTGTCATAACAACTCTTTCTATCTTCAATGAATAAAGAAAGGATTTACTTGCACAAATGATATCATTGAATTTCATGAAAGGCACCATATTTCAAATTAAATTATGGAAATTGTAGGGGGAAAAAAATCAAAGTTATAGTATCTGACAATCAGTCATGTTACATATTATTTCACATTATATATCAAAAATAAAAACTGAATGGCAGATTTTGACTGGGTGCCATAGACTATAAGTTTGTTTTTAACTCGTGGTGCCTTTTAACCTCTAATTGTGCCATATGTAAAATCCCTTTACAGTTTGGGAGGGTTCTTACCATGTCACTTGTACCAAGGAAACTGTTCTTTCTACAACTTCTAAAATAATTTAATAAGAACGTGAAACTGTGAAAGTGTCCTCCCTTAATAATAGCTCCAGGAGCTGTTATGCAGAATAAAATCAAAAGCTGCCTCCTGATAATGATTGTAATCTACTTACATCTACTGAACATTATTATTGTTACTTAATTGGATGAGATTTATGGTTGTTTTGTATTTAGGTCTGAAGCTAACAAAATATTTGTTATTTTATGTGATTGTGAAAGTGATAGTTGAAATCACTTGACCTAAACTGCAGCTTTTTCATCAGCACTGCCAGGAAAACTATTTGCAATTAGAGTTGCTCTCCAGCAGATGGCACTAATTACACAACCATTTGGATGCATGTTACATTAACAAATTGAACATGCAAGACTACATGGCTGTGATGCATTTCAACAATGCTATAATCAATATACAGTATTATGAATAATATCTAGAATTACCTTTTTTTCTATATACTAGCTAATGTGACTTTTATAAGCACACTTTAAAATAGTTTTCAGCATCTTTGCAAAGGCTGTTTATAATATACATAGATTCAGGATACCATGCAATATTTTTGTGTCTGCTGTTTTCCTTCAAATTTCCCAGTAGTTCTGGTGTAAAACCCTTGATGCGAATGTATTTTTCAGCCTGCTGTTTTCAACATTTTAATTGTATCTGATAACTGGACAAACAAATTGCTTTCTACCCACAGCAATTTTCCAAAGAACTTCGTCAGTGGCAGATAAATGTTGATGTGGTAAATGATTTGGCCTTCAAGCTTCTGCGGGACTATTCTGCTGATGACACCAGAAAAGTGGAGCTAATGAAAGACAACATTAATTTAACATGGACAAGGATTAATAAAAGGTATAATGTGTTTTCTAAGACATTTACATGTTAATACAAAGCTTAATGTTAAAAATATGAAACATGTGGTAACATATCCCAGAGTGCAAAAAAAAACACAAAGAAGTTATATTAAATACACTTCCATAATCAATACTAAAAGCATAGGCAAGACATATACATTCCTTAACATTCACCATTGTATCATATTTAATTGCTAATTAAAATATCATGTTTTCAGTGCAAACATTGTGATACTCTAATTGAAGGTTACATTAAATTACAGGAGGCTTATCTCCCCCTTCAGCTGTGAATTTCCCATAGGGTATAAGAGAAATTACTTGAATTTTCATGCATGAAAATATTGCCTCTGGTGAGCATGCATCATACAATGTTCTTACAAAGATTAGATGTCTTCATACACAGGGAACTAGTAGATAGGTGCCTGTTTTCTGGAGAATTATATTAGCTCTTTTTTAATGGTCGGACCAGCAGAGGTTTAATTTGCTTATTTCTTGTATTGAGTGAAGCTGATTTCATTGGCTGGTCGCTATGACAAATAAATGCATCTGCTATTCCATGTAGCTATTATATGATTATATTATACACGTGGCTGTCTCGACTATCACTTGGGGGATCTCAAAGCTCAGTTTAAGTGTACAAGATATATATATTAGGGATGCACTGATACCAGGCATTTTCACGAGTACTTGTGAAAATGCCCTAAAACATTGCACCGATGCAGGTGCTTTAAATTTATAAATAGCTTTGGGCTGCTTGTATAGTACAGCAGCCTGTTCATCCATCCGTCCCACACCCCCCGCCGACATGCCTCCAAGGTCCATCCCTCCAGCCGCAAATCCACCCCTGCGCGCCATGGTTTTTGGGCTCCCCCACTCTTCTGGGGGAGCCGGAACAACCACGGCAATAATTTGAGGATGGAGAGTGGGGAGTAGAGCGGAGAATGTCTGTTCTCTGCTCTCTGTGATCAGTGAAACAGGAGTACTGTATTCACAATGATCCCTGTGTCAGCTGTCACAAATGGAGCTGTACAGAAGATAGAGCACACATGTTCTCTATCTTCTATATTGGAGGGCAGGCTCATAAAGAGAGTCTGTCACCTCCAAATTATATCACATAGGGCCTTGTTATCCCCTGGGTGATATTAATAAAGTTAAGGGAAAAAAATACAGAATAATAAAATAAAGATAAGAAAAGTGATAAAATAGATTAAAACATTTTAAAAAATAATACAATTAAAAAAATAATTGACAAAAAGGTAAAACAATAAATAAATACAGTATAATAAAATTAAAATTAAAAAAGGGATAAAAAGGTTAAAAAAAAGAAAAGAAAAGAAATACAAATTTAAAATAAAAACCAACCCCCCCCCACATGCGCACGAGTAAATATGCATAAGGCATTGCCATCCAGTGCAGGCCTGCGCAATGTATTTTGAATTTAACTTGCAAATTGCGAGCAGGTGACCGCGCGGACCAATGAGAAGTGCTCCTTAGCACGGTTAAATATGGTTATGGTTAAAATTATTTTTTCATAAGGACAAGTATAATCATGGATTGAGTTACAGTTCTTCACAATTATAAAGAAACTGCCCTAAAATCATTAGTCTGCATTGTTTTAAAAAAATGTCACATGTCTCTTTAAGAAAATGTATGGGTAATTGGTATCAGCAAGTATATGAGGTAAAGTATTTGTACTTGATCTTGAAAAATGGTACTGGTGCATCCCTAGTAAACATAAATATATATACATATATATATATATATTAGGCTAGCTCAGGTTCATGTTTGCAAGATATAACCATGACAGCATGCAAACTCTATTGGGTAATAATATTATACATTGTGAAGGCCCATTAAGGCCCTCTGATTGCATGTACATTTACATTTTAAGTTTAACAGCTGTATGTGGTAAGCAATGAATACAAGCCATATCTGGTAGAGATGGGTAAGAAAATTCAAACCCTTTGCCCTGGAGCTAAATACCAGCTTTGTAAATGTGTAAGTTAGAATATAGGAGGGAATGTTAAAGCTAAATGCCAGGCAAATATAAAAGGTGCAAATTATTGCAGCTTTGTAATCATAAATACAACATTAAATGAATTTCAAATTCAAGCGGTATAAGAATTTGACTTGGTATCAGCTTTTTAGCAGTTAACTCTAAAGTCGATACAGTAGAGCCCCGAAAGAGGGAGGCAGAAGCAGCACAAGAAGGCAATCAGGAGTTCTACAGTGCAAGGAGCATGTTAACGGGAGGAGGGAGTAGAGTGGCAGAGAGATATGCTCATCATTGTGCTGCTTCTCCTTTAATTGTCCAGTCATTGGGTGGGGGAGTGACCTGTAAGTGAAGGTAAATCTGTAGCAGAGGAATACCAGGCTGCCTTCCTTTGCTAGACAGGTCTGTGCTGTGGGGCAGAGCTGTGTAAATCACGGGACTAGAATGAAACAAAATCCCATGGCAGGTAAAAATAGCTCTGATATATGTATTTTATTTGTGTAGTTAGCGGTTTAGATACAAGTACTGTTAAGTATTAGGTTTGAGGGTTGACTTACCTTAAAAATCGATGCTCATCTTAATCTTTCTCTGTAAAAACTGTATCAATGTAGAGATATGGTTTGTACTTCCTTTGGTGATAAATTGTATGAAAGCTAGGGATGCACCTATACCGCTACAAGTATCGGTATAGGTGCCGATGCCGAGTATTTTGGTGAGTTCTCATACTCACCCAAATGCTCTGATGCCTAGCCCGATACTTTCACTATCAGGAAGCCGGGCAGCGAGTGATTACATGCTCCCTGGATCCTGATTGACCGGGAAGCGGTATCGGTATTCTGTATCAGGCGAGTACTAAAAAAAAAATATCGGTACTTGCACTCGATATCTAAATACTGGTATCGGTGCATCCCTAATTAAAGAAAAAATTATAACACAGAAAAAATTTTTTTTTTGCTGAAATGCCTACTGCCCCATTGATAAAAGCTACTTTAAAACTGAGCTCCAGGGAAAATATATACTTACCTTATTCCTCACTCCCTTGGCAGCCGGCACTCTCCTCTGCTGTCCAACATCCGGCCTGTGGCTGGGTGCTCAGCCACCTCCTGTAAAATGCAGTGGAGAAAACCTTATTCATCATCCCCGGGGCAAAATGAGCAGTTAACCCACTTGGGGACCCACTGCAAGTGTATACCTTCTTTTTTTCTCTGGAATTCGGCTTTAATTACATTGATAGCAACAGATCTCTCCAGGTATAAACTTATATGTATTTTCACATACAGTACAAGCTTTATTTTTACTTTTATGTACAGATTGATGGGAAATATGAATAATCTACTGGAAGTGATTTCAGAACCTTAAAACAGTGATAAGAGCATTGAGATTCTCTCTGAAGATGATATCAATGTGGGAGATGTAGGTTGTACTCTCTTTAATTACATTGGTGGTGACAGATCTCCCTTGGCACAAAGTTATCAGTGTATGTCTCACATATAGATTGCAGAGAACGGCCTACTGGATGAGATTTCAGATGCTTGAAAGTGTGACAAGAGAATATTTTAGGTTCTCTCTAAAGATGATATCATTGTGGGAAATGTAGCTTGTACTTTCTTTCCTGGTGATAAGTTTTATTACTGAGGAGTTATTAACCAGAAAACTGCTTTTAGTTCATTGTGGAGTATATTGAATAAGGCAGCACATGGATGATCTCTGATTGCACAGCTTATTGACCTTTCATTCCTGTTATATTCCTTGCTTTTAAAAAATAACTAATAGTGCAGCCTATACCTCCAGTATCAATGAGTTTTTGTGTGATTTGTCTAAACGTCAAGGATAGTCAAATCTCAGGAGACAGGTAGTCAACACTCTTTAAAAAAGACAGCTGGCACCTAACTTTTGAGTTCTTCTTTAGTTGTTGTCAATGGAGCAGGCTCCTAAAAAATCATGCTAGCTCCTGAATTCCATATTGATTTGTCCAATATTTGCAGGTAGAATATGGGTTTGTAAAACTGCATACTGGTGAAAGGGATATAACTCTTTATAATTAGAAAAGCTTTATTAATGACTGCTCAAACAGGATCTAAACTTTAATTGGATGACATTTTATTAAACACTGTGAGGGCAATTCAAGAAAGCATTGCTGGTGATATTGTGGCATTAGAATGTCTTGTTCTCAATCATGAAAGCCTTGCAACAGTTGATTAACAGTTCTGATATGTAACAGATTCAGGCCCCATTCACACCAGCGTGGTTTACACAAGATTTTAAAAAAGGCGGTTCTGGGCGTTTTGAATTGCGTTTCAGAGCTGAATCGCAATTAAACACTCTCAAAACCACACTGATCAGAGCAGTTCCATTGATGTATGGAAGCCGTGATGATCAGTGTGGCAAAAAAGCTCAGGGAGGCGGTTTAGATTGCGCAGACCCATGCGATCGCGTGAACGGTCCCCATAGCAATGTATGGGATCGTTCATGTCGGCCGATCGCGTGGTTAAATGCGTGCGGCCTAACCACCCAAATGTGAACTGGGCAGGCTGGGCAGGCCTTGGGTAGTTCTTCTTTGTTTACTTTATTGCTGTAACAAATTCAAAATTAACCCCTTCGTGACTGAAGACATACAGTGTACGTCACCAGCATCGGGGCTGTTTAAACAGACTCCCGGTGACTTTTGCCGCCGGGACTCTGTTTAAACTTGTAGAGCCAGCCAGTTCATAGAAACTGGAGGCAATTAGGACCAACTTTAAGTTGGCGTACAGAAACAGGTTGGAGTAGGGCTGTGTACAGTGTACTGTATATAAAAAGAGCAATTTGCATGCAACAAACACCCCCCTATCACTGATCTACAGTTAGGCTTTAATTATTAGAAAATGTACAAATATCTATAGCAAACATGCAAAATGGTTACATGCCTATATTTAGGCTAGGTTAAGATATTTGCTTTGTGTTACCATGCCCATGTTATCATGCATTATATTTTATTAATTTGAATGAGTTGCCAATGTGCCTTC